TACGCACAGGTCAGTAGTTGGCCTGTCTATATTTCAGTGCAAACGGGAGTTGATATTTATAAGAACTGTATCGCTAATGTGTTACCAGGAATACATGACCCTTATTTCGTCTCTATTTCTGGTTATATACTCGGTCTGTTTTCCATACATATTATTAAACTTGGATACATTGAGTAAATGAATAATGTAAATAATAAATGTGTACAAAAGTTTATTTACAAAGCGTAACCCCTAGAGTTTCTTACTTACTCTTTTCAGCAGAATTGGCCTTCCGAATGAGAATAATAACGCACACACTCATATTGATATTCTGATTATAGATTTGATTGAGATTTTGACCAATAATGTGACTTTCAAGTGTTTCAAGTGTGAGTTTTATTTATGAAATAAATTTACATTCAAGTTTGATTTTGACTTGCCAGTGGAAATTTTTAGGCGTCATTCGCACTTTAGACCGTTTCCTTTTTAAACGCCTACGTTCCATCATGAAGATCAAATGATCTGTTCAAATGCATAGTTTCAAAATCCTGTGACAAACCTGACGGTAAGTGAGACGCCTGTCCATAACAGTTGAAGTACCACTCAGTGCTTTAAATTACAAAGACCTGAGAGGCATTGCCACTGCGCAAGTCACCCTGAGATATAATTCGATAAGTCCCATGTGCCTGTCTTTTCACCAGCACCCTTCATAACCGGAACACAATAAAGTTCATATTACTGCTTGGCGGCAGGAACAGGTAAGGTGGACGAATCCTATCTCAAGGAGCCTTATTTTTTGCAATAGAAATTTATCAGTAAAAATTACGAAAATTGAGTCCTTATTCATAAGCGACAGAGTTATTATTTATGAATGATAATTTTTATTATATTTATAATCATAAACGATTACCGTCGGTATTGATTATGTCCCTAATGGTCGATCCTCACCATACATATTAAGCCTAACAATGGAAATAAAGTTAGGGTCCACTGAAAATCAGCGTCACAGCCTTGTCCCGGTGACATTAGCTGAGTGGATCCTATTACATACGCCACAGCCGCACACATAACATCTACTTAGTACAGCAATAGTGTTGACCAGCTTTGTGGTCGCATAATTATTTATTGCCAAGATTTTATTTTTAATTAATTTTATTTAGTTTTCTTTTTTATTATTCATTTTCTGTTTGATTTAATTTAGTTTGTTTTAGTTTTAATTTAGTTCTGTTTTATTTTAATTTTTTTTTTACTTTTAATTATTTACTGTTTATTATTGTGTTGTGGTATTATGTAATAAATGTATTCTATTCTATTCTATTCTATTCTATAAATAATTCAAATACTTGGTTCCTATTCCCTGTTAATAATATCTTACATCCAAACCAAACTTAAAGGACCCAAACCGATTGACTTATTCATACATTCAAGGTGTTGATCTTGAACTCACAGTGTGCCATCCCAATTGGGGAATTAGTTGCTAACAGTCCTGTGGTCTTGAGAAACCGCATACTCTCAAAGCTATGTACTTACGCAAAACACTTCTAAGTTGCTATTCACTCAACATATTACAGTACAGTTTCCTATGTAACAATATGTAAATATAGTCGAGAAAATTTTCATTGTCTTTGTGTACAGTAAATATTAAATGAACTTTCGCGGTTATTCACTAAAGAGATCAGTAATTACAGGTTTCTTACCACGCTATGATTATTTATTTTCTCGACATTTTGGAGCCTTGGGCACGGATTGACTGGCCAGCAGCAGATGACAGCAGCTTTAAGACCAGAGATATTTGTCTGTCTAGATGATGAGATGTTTGTTTTGGTATAAATGGAACTTCTTGTGAAAGAGTTCCCCAAGGAAGTACTGCCATCTTATCTATTTCTGCCGCCAAGCAGTAATGTGAGCATTACTGCGTTCCGGTTTTGAAGGGGACTTGTCAACTTATGTCTCAGGTGACGGACGCAACGGCAATGACCCTAAGACCTTTGCGATTTAAAGTTCTGAGTGGCGCTGCAAATGTTATGGATAGGCGTGTCGCTTACCACCAGGCGCACGACTTGTTCGTCCCGTCACTTGGTACTATAAAAAAACCTAATTGTATACCATAAATATTTACGTATTTTATTTTGTTTAAATCTTTATTTATTTAGAGGCTTTATTCATTATTGAACATGCAGCCCCATTAGAAAAACAATACATCAACAAAACACAAACAGATAAATCAAATTACTACCTAACCAAACACGTATACAAAATCTTCGTGGTACTTCTTTTTTTTTTGGGTATTTGGCTTCTGTCGCACTGAGGTGGTATTTCTTGTTAGCTCAGACAAAACGAATTGAAACCTCCCAACATTAAATGCACCAAAACCAACCTGTGCAAATAACCGCATCGTGATGCTTTTCGTCTGAACACACTCTATGAGCAAACGATGTACATTAGTAATAATTATAATCTCAGTACAGAGTACTAAGAAAACCGACCTCAAAAGTACGTGGAATTACGTCTATTTGCTAAATTTTATTGAAATATCCCCTAGTTCGCCATAATACAGGACTTGACACTGGAGATAATAAAAATCGGTTCTCACTACTCAAAGTATATTGAGAGAAAAACGCCTTGTATTGGAGAAATAGCAAAATCAACCATTAAAATAATTGCTCCTTAAGTAAAATTTGGGCTCTATTTATAAAAATGAAACTTCATGTGTGAACAGCCACCCTTAGAGGTAGATGATTTTCTTGAAATTGAAATGGGACCACTATGGAAGTACTCCCTTTCCAACAAAAAAGAATCATGAAAGTCGGTTCACAAATACCGGACTTATCGCGTAACATACATAAAAAGTCGAATTGACAATCTCCTCCTTTTTTAAAGTCGGTTAATAATGGTAATGAAATAATGGTAAGAAGAACATGTATATTCTCCTCTATGTCGATGGCTGGTACAGTTCAATATGAGAGCGTTAC